GAGTAAACAGGGGAACAGCCTTATCCTATTTACAGATACTAAGTAAATAATAAAGCCACATTACGAGTACATTTTAACATCTACATTACATTTAAAAGTATGAAAATGTAGTGCAACAAATGGAAACCTCAGTATATGTAGCATGTAGTATAAGAATTGAGTTCATTTTATGAACTTTCCCACAAAAGCATTCTTCAAGCTCCACTGGCATTGGGACAGAAAAAGTTAGGTAGATAGGGCCAGGACCATGGGAGGAGGAAGTGAAACCAAGAACCCAGCTTGGCAGAGTTACTAAGACACCCTAACTGGAGCGGGAAGGAAGGCTGGGAGCCAGAGGCTTGAACTTTAAAATGGATGGATATTACTAAGACAGACAGTGTGCAGATACCCAATCACAAGGCAGTGAGGCAAACATATGTACAAAAAAAAAAAGTGCAGGCTCCCTTCCCTTCGCCCCCAGCTTAGGGCACAATGGACACCTGACACTCCTGCTGCTGGGGAACACATCCCCTATGACCACGTGGCTTATGACCATATTAGTGGCCTGGTGCATGAAATTCATGCACATTAAAAGGGAATTAATTAGAGGAAATATTTTAATATTGCTATTTACCCTTTCTCTATAATAGAAGTGTCAGAGATGAAAGAAAATTAGTAAAATTTATATGAAAATAGTATATAAGTTTATTAATAAATAATCACACATGCTATAACAACAACAAAGACATGACACAAAACAACAAAAACATGATGTAAAAACAACACGAATACAAACAGTGACTGCTAAATTGATTAAACTTATCCTAATATCTCCCAGTATACCACATTAAGAGTGAAAACACTTTCAGAGTGCTTAACTAATTTCCCTTGTGATGAAGTGTTTACAATTTTAACATCACACACTCTTCAAACTTGAGAGAAAGCAACATATAACTGACCATGTGTGAAAACGAGTTCAGGTATGAGTATTCCTACTCTGTCTAGAGTTTGTCCTTGTGATTTATTAATAGTCATTGCAAATGCTGGCATCATGGGAAACTGTCTTCCAATTAATTTAAATGGGAGGCCAGTGTCAGATCAGGGTCCGGGGTGCAGGGGGATGGGATTCCTGGCTGACAGGCTACTGACAGCAAACTGTCCAACAGCTGATTCTGTGAGAAATGGGGCTCCCCTCCCTCCTGTTAGGGTCTGGTTTGAAGGCCGGCAATGCCTGTAATCGTGGGAGACTGAGAGTTCTGCCATGTCCTGGCTGGGGCTCAGAGCTCCTTCCCACCGCTGCCGCACCCAGTGAAGGATCAGGTGGGAGCTCCCTTCCCCATCAGCCTGCTGTTAGGTCTTCCTTCCGGTCGTGTAGGTCGTGATGGCCCCTGGATTTTTATATATTGGAACTAGAGGCCCGGTGCACAAAAATTTGTGCACTCGGGGGGCGGGGGGGGGGGGTCCGCCAGCCCGGCCTGTGCCCTCTTGCAGTCTGGGACCCCTCGGGAGATAACGACCTGCTGGCTTAGGCCTGCTCCCAGGTGGCAGAGGGCAGGCCCAATCCCTAGGTGCAGCCCCTGGTCAGGCTCAGAGCAGGGCCGATTGGGGAGTGGGGCGCCGCCCCCGTCATGCACAGAGCAGGGTGGATCGGGGAGGTTGCGATGCCACCCTCAGTCACGCTCAGGGTAGGGCCGATTGATTGGGGGGGTTGGGGCACCGCCCCCTGTCA